AAAAACCATACAACACACGGTGCAACACAAAAACTCACGGTCGGTATCGGTCCCAGGTCAGAGCCAGCAAACACGTACATCCAGGGGAATCCAAAGTGCGTAGTCCGAGGGGAAAGTCCGATAAGCCGATACACATGAGCAGTCCGAGATAAGAGGGCAAGGCAATACAGGGTAATCCAATTAACAGTCCGGGTCAGAAACACAAAATACCAAAAACCGAATCTATTGCTGGAAAGTCAGAGCTGGGGTCTAGAACAATCTGGCAGCGTCCTCATGGGAGGACGCTGCCTAAATAGAGATGAAAACAGGTGCACATAATAACGAAGCAGGTGAAACTAATGTGAGTGGTGAACGTAAAGAAAAGACCAGAACTAAGGTGAAACAAAACAGGAAATAGTGTCAAAATAAAAGCCAGACAGGAAGCAGTGGAACCGAATCATGACAGTTACAGACCTTTGTTCGTGGTATGTATTGGAGGTCATTTTGTTTTCCACACTGACAGTTCCTGTGCTGTGGATTTTCCTTTTTCGTTAGCTAATCCTCCTGGGTAGTTTTTTTTTCACCTGTCCTCATCCTCGCTCTCTTTTTTTTCTTTTTTGCTGTTAGCCTGTTTACTCCCCTGGTCATCCTGTTCTCCTTAACCGTATTTGCTCACCCCTGGTTGTATGTATTCATTTGACTCTGTTCCTTTCTTTATCTCCACCATTAAAACCACCTTTTTTTTATATATATAAACTAGCACCCGGGTCAGCCATCTTGAGTCCTGCCTCAGTTCTCCCTCACCCTCCTGGTGAGGGGGACTAAACCCTAACAAACTATGCAAATGTCTCCAATAGCTGAACTAAAATGGCTTTTCTGTTTGACAGGAAACTTAGAGCCCATGGCTGCTCATTTTACTCATTTCCAGCCATTTAATGTTTAATCTGGGGTACCTCTGGATTATCTTTGCACCCATCATAACTCCAAATAGTTTGTAATTATTTCAGAATGATAAACCCAGAAAGCCTCTTCCTAAAAATGAGAGGATGGTTCATGAATGCATACACTACTAATGACGGTGTCTAAAGTGAACAGCACGAGGAACTGCAACAGCATTAAGTAATATGAATACTTCCTCCATAAAAATGTAAACAATGGTATCATTGAAAATAGATGTGTAACACTCTAAACAAAGAGGGTAGTTGAGAAACCCCATATTTTAACTGGCATAATGCAGACATACATCCTTACAACAATTCTCTCTAATGTTACAGAGACAAGGCATTAACAGACATGCAATGTGTGTTTTTTGAAGACTTACTGTTAAATCCCACTGAGTAGCGGAAAAATCACTCCCTTTAATGTAGCTCCAAGGTCGGTAAATCCAACCGGGGTCGCTGTATCTTCCCCCACATGACCACATACAATCCCAAAGTAGTGAAATTAATTCCAACAGGTAGCCTAGCGCTGACAATAACATCATGGATTGTTAATCAGCTGGTTAACCAGCAACACATCACATGTGGCAGACACATGGGCCTAAAGCAGTCAAAACAAACAGGTTCTGTGCTCCAGGGGAATCCAGTGTTGAGCTGATCACAAACCACCATGGGGTCTTCACTGGCTGCTGCTTGTAGGTTAGACCCAGTCAGGTAAAACAGTGACTCCCTGTACAGGAACATTCCTGGACATGCAGTAACCTCAGACCCTGTATTTTTCTCCACATCCTCTGGTCACAGTGCAGCAGCAAGATCTAAAACATATCCACAAAACCAGGCAAAATTGAGAAATTCTCCTTTTACAATGGCACAGTGGATATCTTTTGCTTTTTAAATAAGCTTTATTGAAACTATACATAACAAGGCAGTATAACATTTTGTCAATATGTTGAAAGCACCAGTGCCTTGAAATTATGACCATTCAGTGAAATCCTTAAAGTATCACCTAATAGTTTAGCTTGTCCTAATAGTTTAGCAGAAAAAAGTCTCGTGGCTGAGAGTTTGCAAGACATGTATAAGCTGAGTTGCTTCTGCATAGAAATACTAGAACAAATGTAACCTAATTTTTTTAACTTTAGGTCACATCGAAGATGATAATTCACAATTGTAACATTGCAAATAAGTCAAAGCAAGGATATACATGGGCCATGGGCTCTATAAGACTTCCAACTAGATTCACATTTTCAAAAATCACTTTTCACATTGAAGTCAATTAAAACATGAAATTCTTAATTGATAACTGCAGTAAGAAGAATATTACAACACACTTATCTAATATCAAGTCATAAACACATAAATAGTCAAAGTAAAATCAATTGTGATTAAAGATTAATAGAGAATTATTAATAAACAGCAAGTCACAACCTCTACACACTCAAGTCATATTTTAGGGTGAATCTAAGCAAAACAACATCTTCTGTGATGTAGATCACACAAACATTGTAAAAGTATTACTTTATAGCAGATACTTATAAAACACACAGGTTATAATCCACAGCGATCTGAAATGAAAGTCAAAAGCAGTCAAAATCACACTAGGTTTAAAACATATCATCAGTCATGTTAGGTGTGAGAAAATACGTCATGTTAGCTGAAACTGACTTAAGAGAATCTCATACAGAATATTGAACTGACATTCTCATCACATCAAGATGAATTAAATTGTTATTCTGTCATCATGATGCATTTAGAGATCACATTCAGTCATATTTATGACCACAGGTATGGGGACAAATATGGAAGTCAGAGAGGGTAAAGATCTTCACATGTTTCCAGGATTACCAACACGTGATTGGCACAGACATGCAGGAAGTCGGAAGCTACTGGGAGACAGACTAACACATTGTTGGTTTTAGTCCTGTCATGGGATTTGTTGATCTCATAAATTCAAGAAACACAATGAGAGCATACACTTCCAAAATCCTGCACTAGAACAGTCAGGTACGAGCTTCAGAAAGGACTGAAACAAAATGTACAAAACTAAAACTGCAATGTTATTATCACTGAAGCTCATTTTCATTTTGCAGTTGTTACATTAAGTAACACGAGTGATGACAAAGAGCTGCAGCAGTTAAAAGACAACCAGACGGCCCTATTGGCTCCCACTTCCAACCTGACACAAGACTCTGCTGTCTTAGAGAGCACGATCACAAACTTCACTGCAGAAATCCAGGACCTGAAGACACTGAGGAACACTTATTTAATCTGAATCCTTTCAAAACACAAGTGAACCCACTAAAGTTTACTGGTCAACTTCTGTAAGTGACTGAGCTTATAAACAGTCATTTACACGTCCTTTAGGTCACTGCAGTGCCCTCTACAGCGGTGTCTGCTTCTCCTCCATCAACCGCCTCCAACTTGTTTAAAATGCTGCAGCCCATTAACTCACAAATGCTCAGAAAAGAGCATATCTCTCCTGTTTTAGTCTCTTTACACAGGTTTCCTGTTTGTTTCTGGATTCAGTTTAGATCTTAGTGATATCCTTTCAGACACTAAATGGCCTGGCCCCCCCTTTATCTGTCAAAACCACTCGTACCGTGTTGGCCCCTCTAGATCTCTTCGATGCTGCCGATATTGTCGTGGGTGAACTCGATTAAATAGCCAGGCGAGGATACGTAAATAACTGTCTCTTTATTAAGAGCACTAACGCTGAACGAAAACGAGACAAGACACGGTGAAAACACGAAACACACTTATAGGTCGGTACAACAGTCTATGGTCAGAGCCAGCAAACACATACAGCAAAGGGAATCCAAAGTTCGTAGCCCAAAGGGGAAGTCCGATAATTCATACATAAGGCAGCAGTCCGAAACACAAGGGCAAGGCAGAACAAACAATCGGGAGCAGGAGAAACTAATGTTAGGTATTTTTAGTCAGATAGATATTGGTTAGATACTTTATGTATAAGAAATGTTTAGTGGAGATAGGATGGCTAGTTAGACTGTTAAATGCTTAGTCATGCTCATGAGTTTCTACAGGGTACATCTGGTCAAGGATAACTAGAGAGAAAAGTTGATGACTGTCAGCAGACAGGGTGTTTAATATTATTATTATGATGTGTATAACTGTAGCCTTAGCCATAATATGTTCTTATGTTTAAGTCACGACATGTTACTAGAAGTCTGTGAGAATGTTTTTAGTTACACACCACTTAATCAACAGACACACACACATTGATTTGCTTCATGTTTTGACTACTACTATGACCAG